GACAAACTTCTTTTAAAATCTAAACTTTCTCCTGATAATTTAATTCTTTCTGCTACTTATAAAAGATATAGGAATTTTGCAATAAACTATTAAAAAACCTCAAAATACAATATGATAAAAATGTTTTACAATAGGCCGGTAAAAACAGTAAACTTGTATGGAAGTTCATTAAAAATAATACCTTCAGTTCAAAAAACCTTGGACCCCCACTTGATCTACTGTCATTAGACAAAAGCCCAAACGAAGCAACTAATAAAGTAAATAAATATTTTATTAATTTTGGCAAAAAAATAGCTGAGACTACTTTAAAATTAAGCAACACTCGTAATCCAATTTTTAATGCCCACATCCTTTTCTAAGTTAAATTCTTTTGTATAATATCTGGCTTAAAAGAAGATTGTGCAGTTGGATGGGACAATATACCTAATCGCATACTCAAAAGATTTAAACATTTACTGGTCGCCCCGTTAACACATATCTTTCATTTATGCCTATCAAATGGTATTTTCCCGAAAGTGCTTAAAAAAGCAGTGGTATCTCCTATTTACAAAGCTGGTGATAAAAACTTAGTTAGTAACTATAGGCCGATTTCAGTCTTATCTGGCTTATCTAAAATTTTAGAAAAGATCATAAATACCAGGTTAATAAAATACCTGGAAACTAACAACTTGCTGTCAGACAGACAATTTGGTTTTAGGCATAAGAGATCATGCAATGATGCCTTGCACCAATTGACAGATTACGTCACAAGTAATCTTGACAACGGTATGCACTCAATTGGGATCTTTTTAGACCTTGCCAAAGCATTTGATACTAGTTCTTGCCTTATACTATTGCAAAAGCTTGAAACACTTGGCATAAGGGGAACTCAACTACAAATTTTTTCTGATTACCTCAGTGATCTCTTTCAATGTGTAAAAATCGGTGAGTATACAAGTACTGAATTACAAAACAGCTTATGGAATCCTACAGGGCAGTATCCTGGGGCCTGCATTGTTCCTAATTTATATAAATGACTTATGCAATCTTAATCTTAAAAATGGTGTCATTATGTCGTATGGAGATGATACAGCCCCGTTATTTTCAGCTAAATCACGAGATGAGGTTTATAAATACGCTCAGCAAGGCTTTAACATAGTATCTAATTGGCTTCTTAATAATCTCCTACGTTTAAACGCTGATAAAACACAATATATGTTATTTTTAATGAGAAATAATAACATACCTACTCACCTAAATATTTACGCTCATAATTGTAACTCGTATAATGACACTGCTTGTGCATATTCTGCATTAACAAAAACAGACAATATAAAATATCTAGGTATCACGCTTGACACAAATTTAAATTTCCGCAAGCACCTCGATTTAATTTGTGCTAGAGTTCGTAAATTAATATATATTTTTAAATATCTTTGTAACATCGCTGACTTCAAATTGATAAGACAGGTCTATTTAGCTTTGTGTTAATTCATTCTCACTTAAGGCATTACTTCCTGGGGTGGAGCTTCTAAAACAATATTGCTCCCATTAGAACGTGCTCAGAGAGCAGTTTTAAAGGTAGCCACTTCCCGTCCATTCATGTTTCCTACACATCAACTTTACTTGGCATGTAGTGTACTAACTGTCCGTCAGTTGTTTATCCTGAACATCATTTTAAAACAGCATACCGAACTTCCATTTAACTTAAAATCCATAGACGGGAGAAGAATGGACTTAGTTTGTGCAAACCCTCAAACCAAACACGTATTTGTGAACAAATTTTACATATTTTTAGGACCCTTTCTATACAACAACCTCAACAAGTCACTAAAGGTATTTAGTCTAAGTTATAAGAACTGTAATATAAGTGTAAGGGAATTTCTAAATAAATTAAATTACGAAGACACGGAGAAGTTGTTAGAAATTCTAAAATAGTTTGTATTAATAAAGGAAAGGAAAGGGGGGAATTTTATAAACTTGACTTTTTTATTTTTCTTTTGTATATTCTACATTATTAAGCTACACATAGTTTTAATTTTATCATAGTATGTTATTTTTGTTAGACTTATTGTTACTTTATTTAATTGTAATCATATTTATTCCTGTATGTAAACATGTGTAATTGGAAATGAAATAAATATTTATTATTATGTGTGGGGTATCTATATAGTTTTCTCATCTGGTTGGGATGTATAAATATATAATTATAAACGAAAATGAAAAGATAAATATACATAAATATCAATAAAATAAAATAAATATGAAAATACATAAATAAAAAAAAATTATTATTTTTGGGGTATCTGTATAGTTTTCTCATCTGGTTGGTTTCTATAAATATATAATTATAAATTAAAATATATATAATTATTATTATTATTTGGAGTATCTATATAGTTTTCTCATCTGGTTGGGTTCTATAAATATATAATTATAAATGAAAATGAAAAGATAAATATACATAAATATCAATAACATAAAATAAATATAAAAGTACATAAATAAATAAAAGCCCAACCAGATGGAGGCCCTCGGCAGGGGAGACCAAACGGCCGAGGGTTAGGGGGAAAAGGAAAGAAACCGGCGGACGATGCGGGCGGTATCGAGGAGCACCGCCTTCTGCATTTGAGCCCGGAGCGGTCCGTCACGGAGTCCCAGTCGCCTCAGATGACCCGAGAGGCTGACTGGGATTAGCCCATTCGCAGAGACGACTACAGGAATAATTTCGGTCGACACAACCCCCACATGTCGGTCACCTCGTGAGCCAGGTCCAGATATTTTGTTTGTTTATCTGTTTCGGCTTTCAGGAGGTTCTCGTCATACGGAGTGGTAATGTCGATCAAAAATATCCTTGACTGTGCCCGGTCCATCAGCACAATATCAGGCTTATTCGCAAGAATAGTCCTGTCTGTGATGATGGCCCGGTCACAGTAGAGCCTGGCGCGGTCATTTTCGAGCACGGCTTCCGGTAAGTACTTGTAATACGGCAATTTCCGGTCCACGAGACCGTATTTCAGAGCGAGCTCCTGGTGTAGAATTCTGGCTACTAGGTTGTGCCTGTGCAAGTACTCAGAGTTAGAAAGCGCCGAACAACCGGAGATAACACGCCTAAGTGACTCACCAGGGTGGCGACAAGCTCGACAGATGTCGACGGTGCCATCCTTTAGGATGTATCTCCGATAGTTGTTGGTCTTAATAACCTGATCCTGTATTGCACAGACAAAACCCTCGGTTTCCCCGAAGAGATCACCAAAGCGTAGCCAGTGGAGGGAGGCTACTGTGTCTACGAAAGGCTCATGTAGAGCCTTGTAGAACCGACGATCTCGGATGATGCATCCTATGGGACGTCATGGTAGTGCGGACTTTTCTATCCAGGGCGTTAAGTTCAGTCTGAGTCCACCTGAGTATGCCAAAGGTATACATGAGGACAGGCATGACCCAGCCGTTATATGCGTGTGCCTTATTCACACCGGACAAAAGGCTGTTAAGCACTTTGGTCAAGCGTGCATAAAACACGTCGCAAACTGACTGTTTCATACCAGTCTCATCGATACCGATGTTTTGTGACATACCCAGGTATCGGTATGTTTCAGCCTCGGAAAGGGTCCTTAAGTTGACGGGCATAGATAAGTCTACGCCCTCAGAGTTAGCAACCCTTCCCCTTTCAACATCGAGGACCGCACACTTATCCGTCCCAAGCTCCATTCCAATGGAATTGCTAAATTGACAAGTGATATTTAGCAATTCCATAAGATGGGAGCGACTGGAGGCGAATAACTTGAGGTCATCCATATAGAAAAGGTGGGTCACTTTTGTCCCTCCTTTCCGTAGCTAAAATCCCCTCCCGGAGCCCTCCAGTAAGGTACTGAGAGGGTTCAGAGAGAGGCAGAACCAGATTGGACTCAGACAATCGCCCTGGAAGATACACCTTCTTATCCTTATGTGGTTCTCCGCAGTCATCATCCGCTCGCCCAGATGACAAAGGATCGTACTCCACTGCCCCATACACTGCTCGAGGAAGTCTCTAACTGTACAGTCTATCTTGTACAGCTCGAGGACTCTCTTTAGCCATGTATGGGGCACCGAGTCGAATGCCTTTCTGTAGTCTATCCAGGCGGCGGAGAAGTTCCGACGGTTGCGTTTCACCACTTTGCCAATGACCGCGTCAATGAGGAGTGGTTCCTTGGTTCCACGACCACCGCCCCGACATCCATTTTGAGCGCGCGACATCACCTGATTTGAGTCCAGGTGACAAGTGATTCTCACGCTCAAAATGGATGTTAGTGTCTTGTACATGGTCGGTAGACACGTGATGGGGCGGTATTTGCTCGGGTCTGTGGTACCCTGGTCTTTAGGAACCAAATGAGTGATCCCAGTAGTGAAGAGGCTTGGGAGCGACTTCTGGTTGAGAGCCTCTTGAAACTGCCGGGCGAGCACAGCGTGACGCACCATGAACCCCTTCAGCCAGTAGTGATGCAGCCCGTCAAGCCCCGGACTTTTCCAGTTCGGGGCCCTACGGACCGCCTCAGCTACGTCATCTGGCGTTATGATGACGGGGTCCATGGGCGTAATACCCGCACACTGACTCGCCACAACTTCCGTCCAAGGGCCCTCGCTGTGGTTTACGGGCTCTGACCACAGGCCGCGCCAGAATGCTACAGTGTCGGCCTGATTCGGTGCTGGACCCGTTGCACTTAGCATTGGTCGCTCCAATGATTCATAGAGCCTCTTCTGATCACTCTGAAAGAGACGATTCTGGTTGAACCGTGTCGACCTCTCGGTATATCACCGAATCCGCTTTCCCCAAGCAGCGATTCTCTGCTTCAGTTGTTGCAGTCAGTTTTTGCGTTATATCCGGCTGGGACAAACTGACATTTGTCCCAGCAAACGCCATCCTGACGGTGCGCACAATTCTTGGCCTGTTGTTGCCTGATCTGAAGCATATCAGTCTGCCGATGAGAGCTCTAGCCTTTGCGATACGTTCCTCAATTCTTCTTATCCATGCTGGGATAGCGCTACTATGGCCAGTAACGCGTCCAGCCGTGGAAACCTTGGCGCCTATGATACGGCAGGTTGCCAGCGCGGCGCCAAAAAGAATTGAGTCCGCCAAAAAGATTTTCGAGAGGCATACTGCGCGTTTCCACAATCGCCTCCTCCAATGTACTCCTCATTTGCTCTAGTTCCAGTTCCTGGGCGACTGTTCCGTCATCGTTTGAATCAACCACAACTGGCCTATTCACGACGGCATCCACATTTGCCGTTTGCTCAGCAAGTTGTGGCGCCGTATCCTCAGCCGCAGCATTTTCACCCGATGAAGGAACAGCCTCACGTCGTAGCCGTTCGAGTTCGGTGACATCAAATGTATTTGAGCGCAAGATATACCGAACTCGGTCTGCCAGGTTTTGCTCGGTGACGGTTACAGATGGCTCCAGCTCAGCAAAAAGTCGATGCATCCATGCCCGATACGCAAAACCTCCAGTTTCTCCCCCTTTCGCCCTAAAATACGCCCGCAATGCGTTGCTGTTCATCTGGGTTGTCCAACGCATGCGGAGTACTCCACCAGTGGCGGGTGCCGATTGCTGGGCCCGCGAAGACCCTGCCGACATCAAACCAGCTGGTGGGGATGATGGATGCGAGGGGCTGCTGGGTGGTCGTGCAGCACCTCGCGCTCGGCTGGCGGTTCGCATGCTGTCGCGTCCAGCGCCAGCTCCAGACGCGCCCTGGCGGCCTCCAGGCAGCGGCCCTTTGCGCGTTCTTCCGTATTCCATCATCCATAGTGGTGGGCGTCATTTAGCGGGAGACGCCCAGACCCGGCGCCGTTTCATGGTGAGGCCATGTGCACAAGCGGGCCTTTGCACCTTCAATTTTTGCCGAGGCACGGCACTAACACCTCTCGGCAAGGTGCTGACTGACTGCGCTGACGCACCGGTTTTGTCACATAACCGTTACGTCAGCGGGCGATGGGGTCGTCACTTCCCTACGCCTTTATTATTATTATTATTTACGGTAAGTGTTTTCACTTCTCAGCTCTAGGCTGGATTTCAACTACATTTACGGGCCGAAGCCGAAGAAAATGCAGCGTGTGGTGTGTAGTGTAGTTCATGTTATTTGATGAGGTCCTATTTCGTTTTCTTCTATCTGCATGAATTTCCTAACTATTCTGCATGTATTTAATATAGCTGCTTTTTGAAGTGTAATATATAGAGTTTCTTTTAGTTGTAATAATTTTAAGCTACGGAGGAGATGATTTGGGATGACACCTGTTGTGGAGAGGACTATAGGGACTACATATACTTTTTCTTGTTGCCAGATTCTAGTCACTTCATCTTTAAGTTCTGCGTACTTACTAATTTTTTCAGTTATCGTCTTCTGCAAGTTGTGTGTGTTGGGGACTGCAATGTCTATGAGGTAAGTAATATTATTTATTTTATCTTGTAGAATTACATCTGGTCGGTTATAGTGGATTGTCATATCGGTGAGAATGCCGCGGTCGTAAAAAAGTTTATGTGTGGTGTTTTCTAGAGTAGGTTTTGGTGTATAATTGTAGTACGGAGTGTTGGCATCTTGAATGAGTGCGTGTTTGAGTGCTAGTTTTTGGTGAATGACATTGGCCACCTGGTTGTGTCTGTGAGTGTAGTCAGTCTGTGTGAGAGTTGTGCATGCGCCTGTGATGTGTTGAATGGTTTCCGGATGTGTGTGGCATTTGCGACATTTGTCATTATTTACTGTAGGATCTTTAATTATATATTTTCTGTAATTTTTTGTGTTCTGTATAAATCCTTCTGTTTCTGGAAATAAGTTGCCTATTTTCAGCCACTTATTTGAAGCTAACTTATTTATGTGGGATTGCTCTAAGTCATGAGGGTGCCAACCGTGGAGAACTTTCTTCTTCCATTCGTCAATTTTGTGTGTCTGTGGGTTATCACTGGTAATGTTTTGGGATTCAATCTGATTGCTTAAATTAAGTGGAGTGTAGTTAATATCATTCGTTACGATGGCTTTATGAATATTGCTAGTATGGGATTTTGTATAGAAGAATGATTTTAATCGACTAACTTGTTTCCGCCATAGGTGCTGGATATCTATTAGGCCTCTCCCTCCATGTTCTCGTTTTATTGTTAATCTCTCTATGGTGGATTTAGGGTGCAGGTTGTTGTGTTTCGTGAGTGTTGTACGTGTAGTTCGCTCTAATTGTTCTGCGTCAGTTTTAGACCATTTTATAACTCCGAATGAGTACGTTAATATGGGGATGGCATAGGTGTTAATGGCTTTGATGAGATGTTTACTTGAAAGTTGAGTTTTACAAACGGCGTTAAGTCTTCTCTTGTATTCCATAGTGAGAGAATTTTTTAATTCGTATGTGGTCAAGACTTTTAAGTTGGACATACCCTAAATATTTGTATAAGTCAGTCGATTCCATTGCTGTAATAGCCTCCGTTTCATTTACTATATAGTCGCCGGGCCTTACTTTGCCTCTTACAATGTGAAGTGTTTTACATTTATCTAAACCAAAATGCATATTAATATCGCTACTGAATTCTGTTGTTATATCTATTAATTTCTTTATATCCTTGTCTGTTTTTGCATATAATTTGATGTCGTCCATGTATATAAGATGCGATATTGTTGTTTCGTCTGTATTAAGTTTGAGGCAATATCCGGCCCCGCAGCTCTGCAGCAAATGAGACAGAGGGTTTAGGGCGAGACAGAACCACAGTGGACTCAGGGAGTCACCTTGGTAGATGCCTTTTGTGATTGAGATTTGTCGCGTGGTGACATTATTTTGGTTACAATTTATTTGTAGTATTGTTTCCCATTGTAACATTATTCGGCGTAGGAAATCGATTATTTTCGTGTTTATTCTATAAATTTCTAATATTTTTAATAACCATGAATGAGGAACACTGTCAAACGCTTTTTTGTAATCAATATAGGTGCAATGTAAATTTCTATTTTTAGAGGTGGCGTGTTTATGAATAGTGGAATCAATTATTAGCTGTTCTTTACATCCCATGTGGCCCTGTCTACATCCCTTCTGTTCTTCTGCTATTATATTGTGGTGTTCAATGTGCGACTGAATTTTCTTTGTGATTGCAGATGTCAATATTTTGTAAATTGTGGGTAGGCATGTAATTGGTCGGTATTGGGAAGGCTGAGGTGAATTTTTTGTTTTAGGTAGCATATAAGTAATTCCTGTTGCAATAAATTCGGGAGTGTTCTGTTGTCCTGTTATTATATCTGTTAAACTTCTTGCTAAAGGTTTGTGTAGAGATGTTAATTTTTTGTACCAAAAATTATGAATTTTGTCTATACCAGGTGATTTCCAATTATGTAACCTAGCTGTAATGAGTGTTATGTCTAACTCTGTTACCTCTTCGAATTCCATTTCGTCAATATCTCTCCATTTTGCTTCCTCTTCAATTATCCAAGATGCTTTGTCGTTATGTTGTTTTTGCTCTTCCCAAATACTCGCCCCATTTGCTTCTAGTTGTTCTTTTGTAGGTAGGTTAGGTGTATGTGTGTTACGTTCATCGATTTTGTCTGTTTGTGGTTTGTGTAAGTTTCTATAAAACAATTTTTCGTTTGTGGCAAATGTGACGTTATCTTTTTTGTAACTGTAGCGGCGCTGTCGTCGCGCCACAAGCGAAAACACACCGAAGCCTAAATCGCGCTATCAACATTCCGAATCATAAACAGTATATATAGAACTTCTCCGAACTATCACACGGAGTGTCGGCCGCTCCCCGGGCAGAACACCTTGCCCGGCGGGAGATCTCCCCTTTTCCTTCTACGGCCATAGTGGTGACCCCGACGTGATCTGAACACGCAACCAACTACCTTCGGAAACTTCATGCTTCATCATCGTCATAGAATACCCCACCCATTCGCTCCCGAACAGATATCGTCTGCAGTCTTCATATCCTGCAAGCCATCTAGCTTCACAAGGTTCATCGCAGCACTGGAATAAAATAATGCTTCCTGTTCCTTCAAGCTACTCTCTGCGCCATACAGTGTTCGGCACGGCTCTGAGCCTTACTGCTCGCCTCTGCCTCACGGCACTCTCGCAGATTACTTGCCTTCTTCTCGACTCACCGCAGACTACAAGGCAATCTCCTGGCACTTGCACATTCGTCGGCAACGAGGCTGCACTATCGACCTCCGGTCTGAGCAGGGGGGTGATGTAGCGGCGCTGTCGTCGCGCCACAAGCGAAAACACACCGAAGCCTAAATCGCGCTATCAACATTCCGAATCATAAACAGTATATATAGAACTTCTCCGAACTATCACACGGAGTGTCGGCCGCTCCCCGGGCAGAACACCTTGCCCGGCGGGAGATCTCCCCTTTTCCTTCCACGGCCACATACCTTTTGAGCCTATGAACTTTAAGTGCTAATTTTTGTTTTAACGTGTCTAAATATTCTTCAGGTCTTGTGTTACTCTTTTCGTGTCTGGTATGCGTAGCATTATTCCTAAATATGACCTCTACTTTTTTGACTAGTTTATTAGATCTACAACCGTTAATATACTGAGTGAGTCTACCTATATTTGCTCTTAATTTTTCAATGTCTTTTTCTAGTCTCTGTTGCCATGCTGGTTCTGTATTTTGTCTTGTTCTTGTAGTTCTTGCATTGTCTGTGATTTTAAAGTTCAATTCTTCGGATATTACTACCGCTGTGCAGTATATAAGTAAATGTATGTCTATAAGCTGTGTGTCATCAGATATATGTTGTGTGAGTATAGTTTCATTAAATAAATTAACCAGTCGAAACAGGTTAGGTGTGTACTTAAGTTTGGGTAATCTTGGTCGCGCTGCGGGATCCATCCCAGAGTATAACGTTATTGTTGTTCTAAATTTCTCATTGATTTCTTGAATATATGTATCTGTTGTTAAGTGTTGATCTGGGACAACTATGGTCTCAATGTCATTTTCTAGCGTTAGGATTACGGTTTCGGTTTGTGTGGATGTGTGTGATATTTGTGTGCAGATTTGTGAATGGTCGCATGGCTGAGATTGTGTGTGAATAAGTTGTGATTGACTGAGCAATTGTGGTTGTACTTGGCGATCATTTTCACTTGCGTTTTGTGTGATATTAGTTTCTACATAGCTGTTAGTCGCTTCTTCTTGAATTAATTGTGTTCGTACTTCTTCTTTTAATTGATTTATAACTTCTTGGGATAGAAGTTTATTCCTAACTATGGTTCTTCTTTGGTCTGAGATTCTTTGTTCTGAAACAGTAATTTCTGGATATTGTCGAGTGAAATGTGCGTGTAATTGTTGTCTGTACGTGGTCATATCGGTCTCTAATTTAGTAATGTATAGATAAGTTCTCATGATAGATAGATTTACTTCTTTACTCCATTTCATTCGAACTCTTGCTTTTCCAGCCTTGGTGGACGCGGGTAAGAAGGTAGATACCTCCCGCGCAGCACTCAAGTACTCGGAGTAGGTGGAACTGTATTTAAACTAGTAATAGGGGGTGATGGAGGTGTTGGTGACGATGGTATGGATGGTGATGTTGGCCTCGAGGGTGTGTATGATACTGTGCTTGGACTATATGGTTCTACAGGGGTGTCTGTCCTGTCCGTCAGTCTGTCACCATCGTCAATGAGTTCGGCTGTAGTATCTTTGTGGGTGGGAGCCCGCCTGTTCAACTCCTCACCGCTGACGGATCGCATGCTGTGACACCCAGCGTCAGCTCAAGGTGCACCCCGGCGATCGCCCCCGGGTAGCGGCCCTATACGTTTACTTTTAGAACGAGTCTCCATTTT